TCTTTCTTTCTTTCTTTCTTTCTTTCTTCCTTCCTTCCTTCCTTCCTTCCTTCCTTCCTTTCTTTCTTTCTTTCTTTCTTTCTTTCTTCTTTTGTCAGCCATGGGGCTTGAAATCTGGGCCTGGGTGGCTCAGTGGTAGAGTGCTTGCCTTGCATGCATGAGGCTCTGGGTTCAATTCCTCAGCACCACATAAGCAGAAAAACCCAGAAGTGGCGCTGTGGCTCAAGTGGTAGAGCACTAGCCTTGAGCTGAAGAGTTGAAGGACAGAACCCAGGCCCAGAGTTCAGGCCCCATAGCTGACAGGAAAAAAAAAAAAAAAAGTGTGTGTGTGTGTGTGTGTGTGTGTCCGTCCCCATAACTTGTGTGTGTACCTGGGCAGTGTGTGTGTGTGTGTACCTGGGCACTGTCCCTGAGCTCTTCAGCTCAATGATAGCACTCTGCTAAAGTTTTTTCTATATCAGAATTAAAGTTCTGTGGCTCAACTCTGTAATTGTAGATACTTGGAGAATCAGAGGATCAGAAGCCAGTCCACTAGTGACTGCATCTCAACTCAACCAATGGCTAGGTGCTGTGGCACGTGCTTATTAATCCCAGCTAGATGGAGAAGCCCAAATAGGAGAGATTTCATCACATGATAGTATAGAGACATCCTGTCTCAAAAATAACCAACACACAAAATGGGTTTTGGTGGCTAGCTTAAGTGGTAGAATGCCTACCTAACAAGTGTTAGGCCTTGACAGTCAGCTGTCAGTACTGCCAAAAATACATTAATAAGAGAAAAATGAGAAAAAGAATCTTCCCTCCTTTTATCTGTACATCTCTGTGTGTTAGTGTGGTATGTTAACATTTTGCTGTTTGCTTGCAGTAATTTTTCCTAATGTATGAAAAAATTTGAATTCCATTAGGAATCATAAAGTATGTATAACATTATGTCTTTATAAAGTACAAAAATGAATCCCATATCTCCCACCCAGTGTTTATGAACTGGTGATTAATTCTTAACAACTGATACTAAGGAAGCATTTAACATGTCCTGTCTTTTAAGTTATTTCATATTAATTATGCTTAATTTATGAAAAGTAAGTCAGATGTGATTGACTATTTTACATGATCTCTCTTTTTTTTTTTTTTTGGCCAGTCCTGGGGCTTGAACTCAGGGCCTGGGCCCTGTCTCTAGGCTTCTTGTGCTCAGGGCTTGTAGTCTACCATTTAAGCCATAGCACCACTTCTGGCTTTTTCTGCTTATGTGGTACTGAGGAATTGAACCCAGGGCTCCATGCCCTGGGAAAGCACTTTGCCACTAAGCCATATTCCCAGCCCCTTACATGGTCTTTTGCTTATTCTATTCTATTGCTTATAAA